CTCCTCCTCATCCGCGCGCGCGCGCCCCGAAGGACAGTCTCGATCCCTACGCGCCTTAGAGACCGTTGGGGCTCACGAGCCTCCCTGGGGCCATTCTTTGAGGCCTGGGGGGAAGGTGCTTTGTGCCCACCACTCTGACTGTTCCGAGGACGGCACAGGCTTCCTTGGGCCGAACCCGCCAGCACCCACACCGTCGACACCAGAGGACCCCACGGACGACCGAAAGGTGGGGTCGGTGGCTGGGGTGGATGGCTGGGCCTCCGTCTTCGACGCTGGCGACTCCCAGTGGCCGTGAGACCCCCTGGTACGCTTGGCTGGCCGAGGGGGGAGGGGCCGAACAAAGGGAACGAAGCCAGCGTGCCGCGGACCTCCTGTGGGCCTTCTTGTGGCACCTGGCGCACACAACCTGGTCCCCTTGGATTTCTGGCCAGTGGGAGGCCGAGGTGAAAAGGTGCTGGAAAGCCTTCTCGCTGCGCTCCCGTCGCAGAGCCCTCTTGATCTCGGCGTGAGCCTCGTGGACGGGAAACTGGGTCCACCACATCGTCTGCATTGCGGCCAGCCTTCCACGGATCTGTTCAGCAAGTGTGTCCAACGCCAGCTTTCGCTGCTCCAGCTCCTGGGGGATGGAGGCTTGAGCGGCAGCCTCGCTTGCGAATCCATCGGCTGTACCATTTACCTGGAGAGCCCAGGCTCTGGGAAATGGGCCCGTACTTAGGGTCCATGGCACGAGACTCGACCTTGAGCTACCGCACTTGGCCAGCCCGCGCGCCCGAGAATCTCCAGTATCCTAGCCAGGGCCCAACGATTTTCGGACATTTTCCTACGGAGCCCCTTGAAGTGCCCCCGAATCAGATACGCAGAGTCGGTCACCACTGCGAGGTCCCCCTTGGTGTGCCCGAAGAGCTCCATGGCCACGTTGAGCTCAGCCCGGGGTATAGTCTGAAGCTCTACGACGTTCTCTTTGAGGGTGCCCAGGGGCATTAATTCTTAGATCCGACCCCCGCACCCCGTCCTGCTCGCCTGGGGCGAGGAACGGCCGAGAAGAACCCCCCATGAGCCATCCACCGAGCTGGTGCGCCAACCGCCCTTCGGCTCGGAAGGGCTCAGGAAGGCCCCCCGTCCCTTGGATGTCGGGGTGCTTGGGGGTGGAGTCTTCTAATTGCTTTCAACGCTAGGTCTGCCGAGATCAGTCACGCTGAGCCAGAAACACGCTGGTTGATCATCCCCTTGGACGGTATCCACGAGGTCCTCTTGGGCCTGAATGAGAGGGTGCTCAGCTCGGAGCAGGAGTGGGTATCCCCAGAACTCGTGATAATCATCGCAGTTCGATCTCCCCATAATCCGCAGTCCTGCCTCGTAACGCCACCGGGGTCTCGAGGCTGCACAAGTACATACGGCCTTGAGCGCCTTCGCGAGGCTTTTCTGGCCGTCGCGATACATCCCCTCGATCTGCCAACGTTGGCTCTTCATGTCAACTCCCTCCTGGCATCCTCCTGCTGCATGTTACCCTGCGCTCCACTCCAAACCTTCTGATGAAGAAACTGCTGGAACCTGCACAAGACATCGTCCTGGTCCTCGAGCTTTCTGGGTCCCACTGGGAAAACCTCGCCGGCGGGGTTGAACCAAGACCAGGCCGAATCTGGGCTCCATCCAAAGTCCAGGAGGGTCTCAACGACCGCGCTGAGATGACTGACGAGTTTGTTTCACCTCCTGGGCCGACGAAGCTTTGCAAAAACCTTGGGCCACGCGGCCATATTTGCCGCTGGGGAGCTGCGGCTCGGTGGCGACGAGCTCGAACCACATCTCAAACAGCCTGACCCTGTGAGTTAGAGCAGGGGTCCTGCGCCTCAAGCGCCATTCTGCACCTGTGAAGGCCTGCCGTGGGACAACTTCCTGGCTTGCCGGTCCCGAGTGCAGCTCCTGCTGAGCTCCTGTGCTGCGTGAGCTCCGTGGAGGAGACCGCGTGGCCCTGGAGTCCCCAGTAGGGCCGCGGCTGAGACCCTGTACGATGAAGGCGTTGGGCGCTCTTGGTGACCCTGAGGAGCCTCTTGATGTTCTTGTGCCTACTGAACCCAAGGCGCTGCCTGGCCCTTCGTACTTTGAGGTACCTTCTCTTGCCGACCGTGGAGTCGAGCCCGAGGTCCCTGGTGCCCTGCCTGGTCTGGAGGGGGATCCCGAGGAGCTTGCAAGAGTCCTGGACCTGGTTCCTGATGTCATTGTCATTCGCGACGAGGGCCGACTTGAGGGAGAGCCTGCACCCAAGATCTACCAACCCTGCCTTGAGATACTTCATGGCCTCGGGGAAGTCCGCAAGCAGCGATCTGGTGGAACCCGCCATGCGGGCGCGCAAATCGTCGACCCAAGGCCTTGGCGTGAGACGGTCGAAGCTGAGGTGCGCCTGATGGAGGAGGTCGTGCCACAAAACTCGGGTCTATGCCGCACTCTGGCCACATCCTGCCAAAATACTGGGCTGCAGAATGATCGCACCGCTGTCTCCCAT